GAAAGGTTACAATAGCTACCATGTATCTTGGTGGAGATGCAATATTATGGAGGCGGACAAAGTATGCTGATATTCAGGCCAATAGGGTCCGTATAGATTCTTGGGATCTCCTTAAGGAAGCAATCAGATCTCAATTTTTCCCAAAAAAAGTGGAATATCAAGCACGACGTGCACTACGAGAATTGAAACATACAAGCTCTATCAGGGAGTACGTGAAAGCCTTTTCAGGGCATATGTTGAATATTCGAGACATGTCGGAAAAGGATAAGCTATTCACTTTCATGGAAGGGTTGAAACCGTGGACACGCACGGAACTTCAGAGACAAAAGGTTACTAATTTGAGCGCGGCCATGGGAGTCGCCGAATGTTTAAGTGACTATCAACCCGAGTCGAGAAAAGATCGACCTTCAGAGAATAGTCAAGCTATTGGAGGTGGAAGCAGACCTTATAGACCCAGCTCGAACTCAAATGTGGGAGAGCGTTATTTTAATAATAAGGGAGGAGCCTATCAAGGTACCCGTCAGAGTAACTTTCAAGGGAATTATCAAAATAGCCGTCAAGGAAACTATAACGGTTGGAATAAAGGAAAAGCAACAGAGGACAAATCTGATGTCACTCCTAAATTGATGTGCTTTTTATGTGAAGGACCTCATCGAGTGGCAAAATGCCCTCTGAAACGGATGGTAAATGCATATTGTCAACTAGCGGGTGGCGGAATGAGTTCAAAGCAAGATGTCCCACAAGCTAGCTGTTACGGTGAGACCGACTCCGAAGAGGATTATATAGAAAGGACCGGGAACAGTATGTAATCTTATCCCTTGCATTTGACCTCCACAATATCACCTTTGAAACTTGGACTAGTGATTATTTCTAACCCATTTTTTCACTTTTCACTTATCTCCATCTATTTTACTTCTTCTATACAAGCTATGTTGATTTTTGTTCTAAACATAAAAGTACTGTCTTCTTTACCAATTTACACCACGTAGAGAATGGGAACTATTGCTTACTTCAATGGGTGCTATCATGTAGAGCCATTTATGGGAAATTCCATGATTAATACTTGTCCACTTCTGGGGTCCGATACATTGTGTTGCAGTGCAGGTAACAAAATGTTTGAGGGATAGATGGTGTAGTTGTGACTATGTGTTATGATGTTCCCTAACCTACTGCAACCATCCTCCTTTATGTTGGCATGCGACCATTAGTAGACTGTAGACAAGTTGGATAAAGAATAAAATGCTCACAGAAACCAAGTATAGCCATAGAAATATATTTTGTATTAAACCATGGATCATTGACAAAAAAAGTACTAATGAAAAGAAAAATTACTAGATAAGGGAACGTTAAAGAGCCCATCTTAGAGCTTAGAAGAATTTCATCTTTCATGTTTGTAGTTTATTTTTCTCAAGACTTTTATTGCCTGCATTATGCATTATTCTCCCATAGGAGGAGGAAACTCGACATTTTGTTTGAAGCGTTTTAAGTATGGAATCTTTCCCTTCTCAATGATGAACCTTGATTTAGTAGAAAATTGTTGAATGATGACCGATTCTCCCCCTTTGTTAGTAGAAAATAATTTTTCCTGCAGTTTATCATCTTTAACTGTGAGGCTACATTAATTTTATTCTAAGAGAGATGCTTAGAAGGCTTTGGCATGATTGATGATTCTAAGGTTATACTGTCTGCCTCAGAGAGATTCATAAGCTCTTTCTCTTACCTGATCTTTTCTTATTTTCTAATTATATTCTTTCCAGATGTACCACCATTTATTGCTGGACGGCCTTCAACTTCTCATTTAAAAACATGAGAAAGACATAAAAAAAAAAATAGTGAAGAAGAAGCAAACATGTATTCCTTCCCCCACACCTCTAATCCCTGCAGTTCACTCCCGCCCCATCTATCATCTCCAACTCTTCCCTCCCCACTGGCAGCTAGCAGCTTCTCCTCCTCCTTTGTTTTCATCCTTTAGTTTTGCATCTTTAACTGTGAGGCTACATTAATTTTATTCCAAGAGAGATGCCTAGAGGGCCTCGGCATGATTCTAAGTTTATATTGTCAGCCTCAGAGAGATTCATAAGCTGTTTCTCTTGCCTGATCTTCTATTCTTCTTTTCTTGTCTTTTCTTCTTTTCCAATTATATTCTTTCCAGACGTACCATTTATTGCTGGACAGCCTTCAATTTCTCATTTAAAAACATGAGAAAGATGAGAAAAAAGAAGAAG